GAAGGAGCTCCTCTAGCAGAAGGAGCTGCTCCTCCAGCCGAAGGAGCTGCTCCTCCAGCAGAAGGTGAACCAGCAGCACCAGCTGAAGGAGCCGTACCTGCAGCTGCCCCCGCAGATGCGACTCCCGCAGTTCCAGCGGAAGCTGCACCCGCGTCGACCGAAAGTACGTGAAATATCTATGATTTGACTTATATTACTTTTCAGGTTACGCAGTGAAATTTTCACTACAAACGTAGATACTTTTTTCTACTTTTTTCATAAATCTAATAATTTTGTAAACGATCCATTTTTTATTGGAACATTTGGCGAGAATATTTTGAAACCGAACATTTCACATTTTACGAGAAAAAGAAGATATATCGTATACAGGAATTTTTTGATCGCCAATTCTACGTCACCTGACAAAATTGGCGTTGTATTAATTTTGCGTTTTTAACTTAATTTTTAGCTAATCTAGTTTTGATATTGCGAGTTACAATCCGCATCAGAGGCAGTCCCGCGCTAAAGAGCGCGAAATACATCATGAACGGTATGTCAAAGCCTTCAAGTATAAAATGCAAAGGACTAAAAAGAAATCATCGCATTCGGTGAACTAAAAAACAAAACTCTAGCATTTCTGGCATGTCGCGAACTGCGCGAATTGCGCACCGATCAGACATCATCCACGGCACTAGTGTTCATAGAATTTCGGAGGAAAATCGATGAGAGCTACTCTCCTCGGCTTTATCATCGGCTTATCATCTTAGCTGTAGTTAATAATTCCGCACCCGTACCTGCCACGGTGGTCGCTTCCCACGTTAATATTCTCTCTTTTTTTTTCCTCCCCATGTAGCACCCGCATCGTAACTGAAAGAGTGGAGACGAGGGGTCATCTTGTCGCATACTCTCCTCTCGTTGACGTGAAACTTTGCGGAACATCTCCACAGCGGTAAAGATACGGATGTATGTGGAACCAGCACCCTACCTGACATCGCGCGAGGATCGCTCTTTTCTTGTCGTCATCATCATTATCATTACCATTATCGCCAGCATCGTTACCGCCATCTCCATCGCCGCCGTCGCCGCGCCGCGCCGCGCGCCGTCTCGTCGCCGTCGCCTCCATCGCTCACGTCTTGCATATTCATCACTCATGCATCACGAAAACTCGCACGTGCCGCACGAGGTTCAAAGGAGAAAAAACGAACAAAAAGAAAAGGAGAGAAATGTATGCACGAGAAAGGGTCGCGTGTCACGGGCACGATATGTCTTGTGGTCGAGAAACGTCGACTCGACATGGGGCTCATATTTTCGCCTCGTATTCGTTATGAAAAACCCGCGTCATTAGAATGCCGAGAACGGAAAGGAAGGATGCTGTCCTTATTCGACGATGTCGCGATTGCTAATCGAGATTACGTCGAGCGTGCATCTACACACATTTCGTCACGTTCGCTCGAGCAACTTTTCCACCGATGGCACCGATGCGCAATCAAACAATCGCTACTCGTCGCATTATACTCGACACAGTACGAATAACTAACTCCGCGTCGGAATAATCCTGTAAATAATCCATCGCACGTCTCCCACGTCACAGTTCTCTTTACGCGGACATCGATACCGGAAACGGTTTACAAGAAATGTATACACAAAATTGGATTTCGTAATAAAAGCTTTTTCTTCGACTATTGCGTTATTTTCCTTGTTCAACAGGCACGACTCTCTATCCCATCATGAAAAATGTACTTCGTTCTTTATTCGTAATTAGTTTGTTGCGTTGTTTAAAGCGTAATATTACGCTGAGAAAAAGATACTTCTGAGATACGATACAATTTATCTCACTGAAATAAATCCTTCTTTAAATTGCGAAATAAAATTTTATTTCTAGCAAGATAAACCATATTTTTTACAAATAATAAGATATATTTCATAGAATTGTATATACATCATTGCAAACAAACTTTTTTACAATCGATACATATCGAAGAAAACATTACCTAGCTGTGACATTTGCTTGCAAATATTTCGACTTTTTTTTTAGTGTAATTTGTGGTCACTCAATTCAGTCACTTGCACTATATTGGATTGGTATAACCCACTCTCATTATGACGTTTCCGAAATTTCTTTTGCTTTGTATGCAAGAACTTTTTCTTTTATACGGAATACATACATTTGTTTAGTATCGTGTTATATTCCTTAATGCCTAGCATTTCAATAGAAAAAAAAATTTGTTATAAAACATTAATTTTTTTATGAGATATTTTTACACAATACCCATGTTAAGTACGTGACAAACTAAAAAGGCTGCTCATATAAATTACTTAAATGCATTAGCATAATACAATCAACTTTGAAGAAAAATATTCTATTAAATAACGTGACAATATCATTATTGAGTATTTAATCAGTTAAATATTTGTTATATATGCTTTTATATTTAATTGTGCTATAATTCATGTATTGTAGCAACTCTTAGTGTACACTGCAGGTGACCGAATTTGCTTAACATTTCTTAATATCGATATAAATTTAACTTTGATATTTCACGTTTGACAATAACATCGTCTGTAAACGACCCATTTATATGGTGTACAGATCTTATTACTTCTTAGGCCATAATTCAATGCTTATTGCCGGCGACAGTGGGTTCTTTTGGGGGCTTGACAACCATTTGTTTATCGCTCTGCTACGTGTTTTGCCCTTTGTCGTGCTTTGTTTCACGACACGTACATACAACGGAAAGACAATGGATGCCCTTTCGTAATGGAGTCTACATAGCGCTGTCTTATTGTGCGTTCTATCACCTCGGAATCTCTTTGCCGTTCATGTGACATTTCCTGTGCGCATGTATATACGTATATAAGATGTATGTGTACACGTAAAAGAGGAATAATCAATATCTTAATGAATTACGTATAATGGGGGATAAAGATAAAACATGTGCAAAAATGCGTTTTAAAGTCGATTTCTCACTTGATAAAATTGTAATCGGCGCAAAATATCAAGATTACAAATGTACAATGATACCATTATCACTAACCATCATCTATTATTGATTATTTGATCTTGATTGTTGAAATGATAATTCGAGCTTATAGCTGCACTTCAATTCATTTTGCGATCATATATCAATAATTAGCGTAAATGTATGTGTGTTTCTGTAATAATTCCGGTATAAAACATTAACACGTTCTGTATAAACGAAAAAAATTGGAAATGTAACGAAATACGAAAGTTTTTAATGACTATACGTTCCATCACAGCGGAATCTCTTTGTTAATCATGTGACATTTCCTGTACGTAGACGTATTATGGGATATACACACGTATATGAGATGTGTGTATACACATAAGAGGAGAATAATCAATATCTTAATAATAAATTAGTATTGCACACAATGGGAAATAAAATACGCGTATTAAAGCCCATTTCTCACATAATAAAATTGTAATCGGTGCAAAACATCAAAGTTATAAACATATATGTTATATCTTTGTCCATCGCAGATTATATGATCTTGATTGTAAATGATAATTTGCGCTCATGGCTGCACTTCAGTTAATTTTGCGATCATATCTCAATAATTGGCGTAAATGATTTCCGTAACAACGTAACGTAATTCCAGCATAAAACACTAGCATGTCCTGCATAAATCAAAATTGGAAATGTAACGTGGTAACATGAAAGTGTTTAATAATAATAACAATATAATAATTTCATGCAACGGGCATCATAATTAAATCATCATATAAAGTCGCGAATGGAAAATTCATCATTATCAATGGACGGTAATTGAAATATTCAAGGCCCAATATTCGCATGTTGAAAATGAGGAGATAAAAAGGCGTTTGATACATTTTAATGGTTTTCATGAGACGATATAATGGTGTCGGATCATAAAATTTCATATTACGTATCGCGAATGTGTTTATTCTCGTGAAGGCTGTCAGAATTGAAAATAATCGTATGACGCCAAGAAGAATGACATACAACGGGATGTCGCAAACAGCAGAAATATACCGCATGAAATCGAAATTGTATTTTGTTTCCGACGTGGCCGCAATGTAATTGAAAAGTAGCGAGTGAGGCGGTATTTAATGCGATTATAACTATTCTTTACAGGCTTCTAATTATACAGAGTTGTAAATTACGTATATCTGAACGCGATTAGAAATCAAAGTACATCATGCGAAGTTGCATCAAGGTCGACGGAATATCGATTCGCGAAAAAAAATAAAAGATTGAAGTAAACGAAAGAAAAAATAGAAGATACACATGCTGGGTTGATAAAAAGAGCGACATAAATAAAAAAAAAAATAGTACTTTTGAGATAAAAGGATCAACTCTAAAGACTAATATATTTTTGTAAAAAAACGATATGTGTAATTTATTCATGTGGAAAAATGTAGCAACTTTGATAAAGAATAACAGTTACTATGATTGAAAATGTAATATCTATGGAAAGAAAATAAAGTTACAGAAATAAGTAATATAGATTATAGAAGCAACATATTTATACACGGTATCCAAATTAAAATATTATTCAAATTCAGAGTTTTAAAAATATTCCATTAAAAAAAACTGCCAATGTTGAGATGCGTCACTTTTTTTATCAACGCCGCAACATAGTGCAAAATTAGACCTGTTTTCCGTTCTCAGAGCATACTTACTTGAAGCATACGTCGCACGGGAAAGAGCCTAAGCGGTTATTTGACACAGTCCCAGCGAGCTTTACGAGACGATAATTGGGCGAAATTATAAAATTGCAAATGACAGAGGCGGGCGGGCGTTTAACTTGCCGGCGCGTAGGAAATAATCGTGTGAGACCGCCCGTGAGAGATTGACAGGTATACGTATCGCGGGACTTGCTCCGAGCGAGCACAAGGAAGAACGGTAGGCAGGCAGCGAAGGCAAGAGAAAGAGAGAGAGAGAAAGAGAGTGAGAGGGGAGGCGAGTGACGCGCGCGCACTTCACGACGAACTATTGCCGCGCGCGACAGCGGCGCACTTCAAATCAGTCGCGCTTCGACCTTCGTCGTGGAAGGATTTTGCGCGGAACTCTCTGCTTGTCGATCCGTTGGTTGCCGTACACTGTCATTCGTGCGATCGTTGTTCTCGGTCATCGCGGGTCCATCGAGGTGACGTACGTCGATCAGAGACACGTCGCGAGTCAGTGTCGTACACAAGCGTGATCGAGTTTTTTTTCTTTCTTTCGTTATCGGGTCAGTGCCAAGATACGCCATTACGCGAGTTCCACGCCGGCGGCGGTGACGCGCGTCGCCAGGTACCATCGTCGGTGGATGCTGCTCGTGGCTGCTGTGCGAGATCTCAAAAATCGCCAGGTAAGTGTTGCACGTATATGTATATGTATGTTCACATCATACACGCGCGCACAAGACGACAAACGGATGGTATGGCGCGGCGCGGCGCAGAGCGTAGCGAATTGCCATTCAAGCCGCGCCAACTCACTCCGAGTCCCAAAAGCAGATTCCTACTCGAGTGCTCCCTAAATATCATTTTATCCTTGTTTAGCATTCGATGAAAAACAAAGATCAAATGATACCTGAGTGGTATCCGGACATAGTTCAGATAAGAAACACTCGACGCCGCGTCGCGTTGTTTTCGAATTGTTCACATGACTTGATCACGTGACCGCGCGGTCGCGGTCTTCCACTTCGGCGTAGAGATACAGGTACTACAACTCGGAGTACTCAGAGTCTGATTACGAGATGGCGAACTTTTTTTCGAAAGACCTATCGTTTTCATCAATCATTCAGTATGTTACAATGAGAAAGATAATATAAGTTGGAATGAGATAACATACGAAAAGATACAGAGTATACAGAGTATTCTCGCCAAATTTAAAATGTGAATTTAGGATCTCAAAACAAATCAATTTTTTCTTTAGAAGCTTGTTTGCAAATGTTTCATTTTTCTAAAGAGATATTGACTTTTTAAGTTACAGAACCGTAGGAATGAACAATGTCGAAATACTTTTGGTTTTGTTGCTTTGAAGCAAAACGTGCATGAAGTGCTCATTAATGATCTTTAATCATTACAATGGAGATAATGCAAGCGTGCGAAAAAATTATAACAGACGCACAGTCAGCTATTCATTCGTTCTCTTATCGATAGATTTTGAACAAATAAATTCCTATTGTTCTATAACTTAAGAATATCTCGATCTTAAACGAAACATTTACGAACAAATTTTTAGAGAAAAATTTTATATTAATGTAAATAACTAACGATATTAATGATGGCTAATTTATATTAGGCGCGGGCGCCGTTAAATACTATTGTTTTTATAGACGAGGTCACTGCTCGTCTTGTGAACGGTATTAATTCCTTGCTCATGTAATTCACTTCGTGCTCAGCTAGCGACAATATGTACATAGATATTCTTTCCCGAGAGCACTCTGTATTGCAAAATCGAAATTCGATAGGTCTAATTATTGTGTCACGTATACCTAGTCGTCGGTTTCTCAACTATTTTGTTTGTTTTGATGTTCTAAATTTATATTTTAAATGTAACGGTGATTTAATCCGGAAACATATATATCCTGCTTATATTCTTCTTTCTCATTCTTGTTTTCACGAAATTGTTCATGGCCAGATTCTGATGTAAGGTTTCGATTTCAGAGCACATCCGCAACTTCTGCGACTGTTTCTTTTTTTAAAGTTGCAAACGTTAGACGAAGTATCGAAGACACACACATGTCGATTTAATCCGCCTTTTAGTCTCCGAAATAAAGTGGTAGCATCCGGTATAAAATACAAGTATAAAAATGGAATAATTATAAAAATCGATATAAATCAAAATTATTTGAATTTCGTATAAAGCTGATCATGTTCTAAATACATCGGTCTTTAATTAGAAATGAATAATTTATAAATTCAATTCAAATACTTTTCAAATAAAAATGATACCAAAAAATGACACAAATTGAAATAGTTTGTAAAGTTTCTGTTAATATAGTACTGTAACAAAGTTAATATATCTCATTATCAATATATCACTACTTCTAGAAAACTTAAAGTAAGCAATTTATGATTAGCTCTTAATTAACCCTTAGTACTCACGATGAATCTCGAGTCTTTAGTAGTGGATTCATGTCCCAGATTAATTTTCATTGCTTTTACAAATATGCAAAAATTATTAAGTGATTTTTACATGTACTTTAATATCTTTTTTTGGAAAGCATTTGTAACGTTGTATATTTAAAAAAATTGTATAAATAATCAATTTTACTTGCTATTTTTGAAACAAAGGAATATACAGGACACGAATGATTCAATCGTATGTTTAATAGAAGATTGACGTGTATTAAAATTTAATATTGCCGTAATAAATAATTAATTTAAAAAAATATATATATATAATAATTTTTTTCTCTCTTCCGAACAGTTTTATATTTTTGACTTGTATCACTTTGTTTGCGGGGATGCCATATGTTTAATTTAATTAAACGAATACGATATTTTACCGAAATTTTATTTACGCAACGTGCTCTCCGCGCACACCATCCACAGAGTAAATAAAGATACATCAGGAAAACAATGGAAAACCTCGTAAAATTACTCGTGGAAAACGCACGTTTGTTCCGTTTTTCTTAGATAAACATTGTGAATTGTCCAACATTTTGCGCAACGTAAATTTTCCCCACGTGTTCCGACTGGACGCACAGGTGTATCACAGCGAACTGGAAAACGTGACTATTCTTAGAACTCCATCCTGGTCAGCGCTTTCTCGCACCCGATAAATTTAGATTGTCCATTTGAGCGCGAAAATTTTTTATATCTGCAGGGAGCAAATACGCGAGCCAAAAAATCGGGGTGCGCTGGTCGCTCTTTGCATTCCGAAGTCCGAACTGCAAATACGCTGACGGGGATAGAAACGCGACAAATAGAAAGCGCGTGCGTATTCTATTTACGTCTCGGGCATTCCCGGGCATGGGTGACCATTGAAACTAGTATTACTCTCGAGGGCTGACAAGCTTTTTTTCATTAATAAAACCAGTCGAAACGCTATTCATCATTTTCGCCGTATTGACGTGGAATTATTGACTTGTGTCTCTCTCCCTCTCTCTCTCTCTCTCCGCTGTATCAATAACGACGCACTCTCGCAATGTTTCCGCTTGAAAGGAGAAAAAAGTTAGTTACAGCCTTATTTTTGTAAATGAGATACGAGCGGAATATCAATAAAGCACTGTTTTTAATATTTCGTATCGTTCGTTCATTCCGTAATATAAAGTCTCAACCATTTTGTGTCTTGAGTGGAAGGATGAAATGGAAAGGACGTGTCGTGTTCTTGATGCTCAAGTCGTTTATCGTAATAAACGTGCTCGCGCTTATGGAACTTCCGGAAATAATCCAGGAAAAGCGGCGCGCACTCAACGCTACATTGCACGTGACTGCTTCATTCTCGCATAACGCCGGCAGCACATACTTGACCTTTGCGCAAATGTAAGAAAAGAGAATACCGTGCGTCGGGGGACCTACATATACGTGAGCGCGGACCAACGTTTTTCCGAGAGATTTAAGCGCCTCGGGATCTGATTATAACCCGTACTTGTTTCGACAATGCGCGGAGAAAGAGATTACAGGTGGGACGGAGGAAGAAATAGAGAGAGATTCTGCCGGTTTCTTTCTTTCCGGTTGTACCGGTTCGAGTTGTGTCACAGCCGTCACCACAGGTCGCAGTCCGCGAACTGCGAAGGAGACGCGTGGACAGACAAGCGCGAGTGCACCAAGGAAGAGAAGTAGTTAGTCAACAAGAAATGGCCATCGCGCGACTTCCTCTCTTGCCACAGTTCTCAACTGTTCGGTGCTACCGACGTCCCGTAGTTTCGATCTCATTAGCAAAATTAATCCAACAACTGCCACTAACTTAGCTGACGTAGGTAGACTGCTTTTATTGAAGCTTTCATGTTTTTCATTATTTCTTCGTGTTTCCGATGCGTTTGAGAAACTGTAAAAACTTTACGCGTTACTAATATAATTATCCAAGTATATCTATAGATAACAGTTATAATGAGATTATAGTAATACATTTGGAGAATGAGTTAAGGAATAGATTCATGTAGTTCAGAGAAGGAGAGAAAGATATCGTTATTTATTGAGATGGCATTCTTTCAAACGCTAAATACATTATATACACTTACAACGTAAAATTTATATAATATTAGAAAACTAAATACTAAATAAAATAAAATAATAAAAAAAATGTAAATGAAAATTAAGAAGATTGCAGACAGGGGTGGGCAAAATATTCAAAAAATTGTATTTAAATACTCTCAAAAAAATATAATTCAAATACAAAATACAAAATACTCTCAATAAAATAAAAATGTATTTAAATACGTAAGAGAGAGAGAGAGAGAGAGTGTTGAGTATGAATTTCTTTTCTAAAAGGAGAACGCGTGAGAATTTCGGCAAGTACAGCAGCGATTGTGAGATTAGCGAACTTGTTGCGTAAATTATGTATTTGTGCGGAAATTTAGTTATATGCCCTTAAGTAACGTGTCGAGCTTGTAAACTAAAACATCCCGCGGGTGTTCTCCATCCCAAGGGGGTTGGGGCACCGAAATATTCGGCGCGCGAGTGTGGTAGAGTACACATCGAACAGGCTCTTGCGTTAAAGCGACGTTTGTGCAACACCGGCACCGGTCCCAGCACCCCCAGCACCCCCAACTCCCAGCCACGTGTGTCTCGTTCTCCCGGGATATTGCGTGTCGCGTCGCGTCGGTTGGGCATGCGGCACAATTCGAGGTTTATTCGAGTCTCCCGGAGTTGTCGCTCCCAAGCCGAAGCCGGGAGAGCCTCCACTCCACTCCACTCCACTCCACCTCCATCTCCACCTCCACCGTAATATCCGTTATTCGGTTCCGCGAGCTTGGAAGTTGCTGCGAACGTTGACGGGATTTATCTCTCCCTCGGCCAAAGTTGCCGGAGAAATAAGGCGAGCCTTCCGGTCGACGCGTTGCCCGCCGGGGCGATGTGACGGGGTTCAAATACAGGGTCTTATGAAAGAGCTTAGGCATCCCTGCTCCGAGATTCATCGGTGCTCCAGAAATTCGCCGTCGCGCTGTTCCGGGATTAAAGCGAAATCGTTTCACGGAATTGTAAACAGGCAGTTTTAGTTTGATCGCACCTCTGTAGAAATTAGTAAATAGAAGAGAATATATATATATATATATAGAAAGATTAAAATTTATAGTAGAGAATTAAATATACAATAAAATAGTCTTCTTTAATCATGATAGTATCTCTTGTAAATTGTGCGACCATCTAACAGTGCTATGGATTTAGTCTATTATTTACGCGGAGAGTTTTTAGCTCG